GAAGTCTAAATGCCATCGGAGGGTACCTTCATGGCTGCATAGAAAACCTGAGATAATTAGAAAGAAACTTGGGTTGGGTAGCAAGACTGCTAAAAAAATTTAGGGGGACGTCAATTTAAAAATATAGTGCTGAAATATCTTACAAATTAACGAAAATTTACAATATGAAGCAACAATTGGATTGCATTTTGAAACAAAGGGAAAAGAACTATTAATTCGAAAATATTGTCAAATTATGCTGCACTTAATTTTTTTTTTCATCTGTGGTTAGAATATTAATGGAGATTCTGCAAGAATTATATCTAGGCTAATGCACACCCATCCCATGTCATCAATCATAAATTATCAACCATATATTTTTACATTTTTTCTCATTTCTATTCTTCTACCAACTTACACCATCAAGGGTTTTTTATTGATCACTTACACAATCCAAATTTTATTTAAAAAAACATGCCCCCCTGAGGAGGGAGTTAAAAAGCAGAGGAAAAAATATTATTGTAATCAGAATTATTTGTATCATGATTTTAAATGATGATTTGTGAAAAATCGTTTTCATACTGAGAGGGGAGATGAAACGCAGAAGCCAAAATATGATTGGAATATATATTCCATCCACCAAGGTGATTAAAATTATAAGAATTATAGTCAGTTTATCGATCATTCCTTCCTCAAGTTATTTTCCACGTTTTAATATTTCGGGCGTTACAAGAATTACGCAAACCTGCATTCCAAAAGGTAATTGTTGATTCCTTCGGAGCTAATAACGATCCATTAATTATAAAAACGACTGATACTGATATGAAGAATGCAAAGAATAGAAGGCTTGCGAAAGAAAACGAGAGCAGATTTCTAGATGTGATCAGAACCCTCTCAAGAGCCTGCTGAGCAAACAGTTCGTCTCCTGTTTCTTGCTTTCATCTATTTTTTATTACCTTGCTTTACTACCAAAACAAACGATGGGTATCATTATTCATAGATCAAATCAAACATTTCGGCTCCTCTTATGGGAGATGTCCTTAGAACTGACGTACATATGCCGCGTAATATTTACGGTTTATCATCAACGAAAGGAAGTGCCACAAAACTAATGTTGGATGCAGAACGGAGACTGGACTCACAAAGCTGAATGTAAAGTGAGCGCCGTAACCCAGAATCATCGTTTGCTTTGGGTGCAAGTAATCCTGATCCCATTTTGGGACGTGCACTCATAGACGTCCGTCTACGAAAGAGAAACCGTAGTAGACAATATTCAGGCATCAACAGGCAATTTTCTGGAGAGCTAATTTTTCCGGCTAGGGTGAAAACTTGTAACTGGAGACAGTTTTCCAATGTAAGTAGAGAGCTTTTGAGGGAAATTTAAGAATGCGTCCCTGAGATACCTTCTACCGTAGACGATTAAAAATAATAATTTATTGATTTCCTTCTTTTTTTGTGTGCTTTCATAGGTTGACATTACTAAGACCGCGTTTAGAGTAGGGGGATTGAAGAATCTGAATGATTACGAAAGGGGCCCGGCCCCGGTGCCGGTCAATTTGCGTCACAGAACCGTTTCGCGGAACTCTCGTCCACTCTTTTTATCGCCGCGGTCCAAATTTGCGGACGACTGGTAGCCCTGGATGCCCGCTTCCCCACCTGGTCGAGACCCAATCTCGCGCGCATCGCGCATATTTTGACATTTGCCGCGCGCCGCGCCGCAGGGCCGAGCGCAACATTGCTGCCGAATACGAACAGGTTCACCATTCATCTTCATTGTTGTCGAATCTCGAACGCTCCCTCATGATACCGAGCGAAGCGCGGCTCAAAACGACTTGTTTACATGCTGTTTAACATGCTTATACGGAGAATATAGGGTGATTCAGAGCTAAATTCAAATTCTTGTCAGGGCCGGATTAAGGGGGTGGCCACATGGGCCGCGGCCCATAGCGGTAAAATTAGGGGGGCGGCAAATTTTGCAATTTTTTTAAATGCAGGTATAAAAAAATCGGATTCAGAAAAAAATTACAAACAAGAAAAGGTGACAAAATCTCTCATTTCCTGAGAGTTCATTTGTTTCTAATTTTGTCGTTTTTCGGTGATACAAAAGACTGCGAAAGTGCGCACCTTTAATTAGTTGAGTTAAGAGAGAAACCAAACACGTAATTTGGCCTGGAGCGGCGCGGCGCAAAGAGAAATGATGACGAGGACTTAAGATGAAAAGGAGAAGCCCTCGACGCGGCGGTCGGCATGTAACACATATTAGCGCCTACGAGACTGCATGAATACTTCACGCATTGCGTCAAACACAGAACGGACAACAGCGGTCGGCGCGGCGCGGCGTGAAACGCACAGTGCCTACAAGACTACATGAATACTTCACGCATTGCGCCAAACACAGTGTGGCCAGCGCGGCACGGCGCGGCGGTGGAAGTTAAAATTAATTAACTACATTTATGTTTGTTCTTTCTTAATTTTCCAGTTCATTTCTTACAAATGAAAAGCCTTGTCCCCACAGAGGTAGGTTTACGGAACTGAACTTTCGCACGAAGTTCCGTGAATTTTTGCAAGTAGTATTGACAAGGCTTACGCAAAAAATGTGTCCAACACGAGTGAACGCGTCTTATGCACCCTTATTTCCCCGGCACGTTCATCTGATGGTTTTTATTAATGTTTCAAAATGAATGAGAAGAGGGCGGCAAAATACAGGCGGCCCATGGGCGGCAAGTAGGTAAATCCGGCCATGATTCTTGTGGGATTTCTAGCGTACTGAAGCCAAAATAAATACGAACATCTAATGCCGTACATCCAGAAAATATCAAATTCCTTCTGCTGAAGAAGAAATTTTTTGGCGATCCTGTGCTTTTTTTTCTTCTTCTTCTTTTTGCTTTGATATAGTCTGGGTTCACGGTATTAAGCGTTAGTGTTCTTCCTGGTTTAATAGTAAACTGGGCACTTTGCCAGGCGAATTTTTGCAAATTAGGTTAGGATTTCTGAACCGATTGCCTAACTCTCTTGTCGCCAGTCATCATTAGGCAAATCTGAGTGTTTTGTCGGAGGTTTTCACTCACAATTTAACCCAATGTTTTCAATAATTTCAAACAGCAATATTCATAATTCTCCTTGAAAATAAAACTTTATCAGAGGAAATTAAATAGCGTTTGAATGCTTCTGCAGCATGTTTCTTCAGCAAAGCACACAGTGGAATGAATGAACAAGAAAGGTTCGACATGGTTTGGAATCTTTATCAGCTCATATCCTCGTTAAAACAAAACACACGAAGTTTAAAAGTGGTTCCACTGGATTTCTCGGAAGAGTTACTCCGAAGAACACTCATTAAAACTTTTAAGTTGACAAAATGAACATCGAAATTGGTTGTCTTTGTAGTCTGATTTTTCGTGCCCCACCTCTCCAAACGGCTTGTTCTATAGATCGCATTTGATAATGGTTCGATGTATCGTTTGGTTCAAAACAATAGAAAATAACCTCAAACAAAAATTTTAGGATTTATGGAAAAGCTGAAAATGAGAAAATTCCTGACAATGTCACTTTTCATTGCCATTTGATACTCGAAAGAATAAAAATTCTATCACAAATGACCCGTTACATTAGATTTCTAAATTGACTTTTGAGGCTATGTTTACATATTGAACCAATCGATATCGATACAATCTCACCTGTTTGATGTATCGAATACGATCTATTGTGCGGCAATGCAACTCCGAGAGGAAGTAATTTGGAAAATTGCTTTGCCACGCAAAATACTTATCATATTGATCCTGGAACATTCGAACCTGATCTTCGGTCACCCTGTATCATAAGATGGTCAGTGATTAAACCATCATTTCAATTTCAGCCGAGATTAGGCACCAGTGTAGCAGAACGTCGCAGGAAATCGTGCCAAGTGGAATCGAAAAATCCCGACCTGTGGCGAGCACCGCACGTTCGCGAAGAAATTCAGCGCGGATTTCGGCAACACCCGCGCGCGAGCCGATGGCCGCTTCAGGCCTAACCTTTGTCATGCTAATCAGGCGCAAGTTTAATTAGCCGTTTGACATTTACGACGCAAAGTTTGGGTCATTAGACATCAAGCGGAGGAATCGCGCATCGATCGAAGTAGGCTGCACTCCCGAGAAGTGGCGAACTGATATTTATTTGCATATGCCGTCCGTATTATTCCTCACGTTACCTAACCTGGTCGGTTGCCTTAGCGCTCAGCCTTTAACCAGCGTAAGTCACGTGTCACGTAGCATCGTCATGGCAGAAAGTGGAAACTGATCGATTTTTGAGACAGCACCTTCCCAAGCTAAGAGTGAACGCCATAAAAACACTGTGACGTTGATAACTTTGCGCCGATAAAATACTACTTTTTAAGAAACTTAAGAAACTGGATATTTTTCCTTGAAATTAAAGAAAATTTTGAGTGAATTGTAAAAACAATTATATAAAATTATAAAAAAAAATTCCGGAATTTTTTTTTTATTCAAAGATTAACAATTTTTTGCTCGTAAGGCGTTCTTGAATAAACTTATCTAAAATGTGCTCCCCTCACCCTCATAGACCATCGACATAAACCATACATGGATCGCGTTTAACAGAAAGGAACCAAGCCACATCAACTATTGCCAAAAATTGGGCATTTTAATTTTTTACATGAAAACAGTTGTGCAAATTTTTGTGAAAATTTCAGTGAATTTTCTGCATAGTACGAGGCCAATTCCTTAGAATTTTCAAAGGAATCCGCCCAAGCGTTCTATTGTAAAAAATTAAAGTGCCTAGTTAAAGGCAATCGATGAGCTTGGTTCCAATCTGCCATACGCGATCGATATTGCATTTGCATTTTGTGACAATTCGTGGATGCATGCGTTACCTTGCAGAATCTCCTTAAGTTCACTCAGCCGTTTAGGATTTGGCTGTGACGCAGTCTTACGCATGTCAATTTGAACTCACTGCGGCGTAAGAAAAACAATACAACGATACAAATGTTTAGGATAGTTTTTGAATGACAAACTATGAGAACTTACTCCATGCCCTTCCTTGTCCAAGCTAGAGACGTCGTAGTTAGTCAATTTAATCCGCTACTCCTACATCTTTCTGAAAACAACAGAAAAAATAAAACAAAGTGATTAGAAAATGCAAACTGAACATTTTGTAATGCTATACAAGACGATAAAATAAAACATGATTCAAAATTATTAATACCTCAAAAAATTTGGTTCGGTCAATAAACCGAGGGGACTAAGAATAAGCCTTTTGATTCTAAAGCATAATGACTTTCACAATTATGACAATCTTGATGACTTGGCTTGCTGCTATTTACTTTATTTCCATTTTTCACCCCTAGTGTTCAAAGCAAATGATTTTAAAATTAGATTGAAATAAATCGAGTCCAGGCAAACAAACAGCACAGCACGTATGGGTTACTTGCAATAGATCTATCGTTTCATATAATTTAAAATCAATTTTAAAGCTGTACATTGTATAATTTAACGGTCAAAAATGTCACCAGCTTAAACTTAGTCCTCTGCAGATCTCATTATGATCAAAAAATTTACATATAAGTTTGGACTCACCGCGATTCAACGATAAACATTTTTGAGACTTGAGAGACTTAAACGAATGGATAAGAAAGTAAAAGATCGTCATAAGTTACAGCTGTTGCATGAAAGCAAAGCTGAATATGTAGAGTAAGATACTTTGTTCACACATTCATAAACAACTCCGTTTAATAATACTTTATTGCTTTTTACAGTTAAGAATTGGAAAAAGAAAGGGGAGGATAGACCGGGACCGTATTTAGGATTCCAATCTGAGTTCAAGTGGAAAGAGCGCAAAGAAGATTTGAGCAAGTTGAGAGCGAGTTGAGAGTAGAGTTGAGTTCGTCGCAACTCCGCGATGTAAGTTCCTAATTTAAGCCAATCAAATTTTTAAAATTCACGATAGCTCCATTTAAAACCTGCATTAGAATGGTTTTGAAACCATAATGTTAATGTATGGAGTTACTTATTTTTTTATTTCTTAAAGGTATGATCGATCACTATAATCTTTTTCTCGATGTTTGACATGAGGCAGGATATCCTAGAAGAGAACAGAATGAATGTGCTCCAAACTGAAATGAGCTAATTTAGGAATGAGCTAATGAGGATATATTTCAAATAAAACCATCTTTAATGCCAATTTTTAGGTGACTATCGTATAAAATATTGCAAGGTTTGTCAATAATTTAATTTTCAGAAACTGCATTTCTCATCGTGAAAACGCACTTTTTCCATAAGCCTGAGAAAATGTATTTCTCCTACATATAATTCATGGTGAGTTCAAGTGGTTGTTAATGACAACAAGGCATTAATTTAGAAAAAGTTGCATCGTGCGCGCAAAAGAGAGTCGGAAATCGTCGAATTCGTGCTCCAAATAAAAGACCCATCAATTTGATTTGTTCATAACTTGAATGTAGCATTCTATGTTCTCGTATCGGATTTTTACGAGCGGTGTCCAATTGCCTCGCAAAATTCATCCTTAGACATCGGCTGATCCCTCATTTCCTCCAACTAAACGACCGGCAGCCATTACGCCTCATGCAAACCAGATGAAAAAAAGGTGGAGGGGGGGGGGAGAGAAAATTGACACAGCTACAGATTTATATCACTGCATTACTTTGTAAGATGGCCCACAAGCGTGAGGAGATTTTCTCCTGAAAATAGAAGATTCTACCTAATATATAAAGTTTCTGTATTTGCCGCAGATATTTTCCGCCCAAAAATGGCCAAGAACGCAAATACGTTTACTACCACACAGGAAAAAATAAAATACCGCCAAGACAGCCTAAGTTGTCAAAAATAACATGGTTTACTGGTTCACATCCAGTGTGCACTGAAAAAAAAACACATTGTATCTAGAGTCCAGACTCTTGAAAACATTGACAAGAAAAAGGACTCTTGATTCAATCAGATTTAAGCTTAGATCAAAAGGAAATCCGCTCAAATTAAGAGGCTTGGTTCTTGATTTAAGCTTAAATCTGATTGAATCAAGAGTCCTTTTCCTTGTCAATGTTTTCAAGAGTCTGGACTCTAGATCCAATGTGTTTTTAAGCGCTCAGCCGATAGGCAGCGCTTTTTGATTTCAACTTGCCTCTAGAGTACTAGTATACTAGTGCTAATTCGTTTAAATGGCGCACCAGCTCATCGATAAGTAGGCTTTTGGGGGGGGGGGTCCATTTTTAAAATAAATAAAGCTGTGGAAACCGTATTTTATGCTTTTAACGTAATGCGCAGGTAGTTTCGATCGTTTGTCTATGAGAAAATTTTTTAGCGGTAGAGTAATTCTTATTGAAATTGATCGTTGAACTCAAATGAAGCCTAAAAAAAACGCGCCTGATGAGCTCAACGGTTGCTATTATTTTCGGGAAACGAAAAAACGCCTTTACGGTTTCCTTGGTAACCTTTGTTTGCTATCAGCTGATGTTTTATTTCCATTTCCCAGCCAAGTCGACGGAGTTTATACTTCCTTTCTTCACTAAATACATTTACTAACACCTGAGCGCATTTCTAATTCGACATTATTAGAACTTTCCCGCTTGTTTTTCCAGTGTATGTGGGGAACACTTTCATTATGTGATAGGAGAGGAGACATTAACGAAGACGAAACCGAATCACTATAATTGGCTTACTGCACTTCCAACTAGAAGCTAGGACAGCAGTTAAGGAATGCACAGCATGCTGCAAAGGCTACCCGTTTGCAGCTCTCTCCTGGGGTGGTGGCATGCGAATATTCAAGTATTAATACTGTCGTGCTAAGGAATAACGCCGTATGAACATCCGAGAGTTGCCAAATTTCCTTCGATAAAATGTTTATTTTTGAGACAAGTTATGATTATTTTTCCTAGAAATTTTCAGGAACTTTAGGTGAAATTGCGAATAAAACCATATGAAAAATTATAAGAAAAATACTCAAAGGTTTACCAAGAAATTCGCGTTTCATCAAAGAACATTTGGCAACGCTTGAAGGCACATACGACGTTTTTTCTTAGCACGGTAGAATACGTTCGTTGCGCCGCTAACGTAAGGGTGTTACGCCATTCTCACTTGAGTCCCGGAAGACATGGAGTTGAGTTAGAGACGTAGCTCAGCTCACATCAAAAGGTATGCACCTCATGATGCCAAACAAGCGACAGTCTATTGGATGGTATAGAAAGCAGTTGTGTCTTCATCAGCATATAGAATTTTCGCGCGGGTAAAGCAGACAATTATTGAAGGACAGGAGGTTCCTCTGGGCTTGCGGAATATCTCTTTCACTCTACCTCCTGCTACTTCATAAGTTTTTTTCAATTCTTCACAGTAGTCAGTTCTTGTCACTGTTCACCTTTCTCCACACCTGGATACGTTGTTGGTAGAGGGATTGCTTCGCATTTTTTGCTCCCGCAGTTTTTCTCAGACGTGTCATGACAGCTCATCAAGAAACTCCCGGGAATCTCTGATTTTAACCCCCCCCCCCCCCCCCCCCGGTGTTAAACTAATTCCCTTCAACGGGATGTTTACGTATTCTTAGTCATATGTTCCTTGAAAGGAAAAATCCTCACTCTATTCAATCCTCTTTGGGTGCCTCAGTTGAAAATTTCCTCATTTTCTTCCATGAAACATCTTTTGAAACCACTGTGGGTTCGGTAATTATTTTATCCAATATTGTTACCATCTAGAAGAAAGAGGTCTGCTTAGTGGGAAGATTTTAAAAGTAAGACATTAGATAATGCCATGATAATAAAAACACAAAAATGTCAAACAGATCCAGGATTTGACGGTTTAAAGTTTGCATAGGTTCTTTTTTAAGAAAATATAGGTAGGTGCGAGCAAAGCTATTAAAATTTTTTATCAATCAAATTTTAGGCTCAAAATTTTCGGAATATAAGGCAACTTTACACCCTTCTCAAGCATACAAAAATTGAAAATCCGTAAAATTTCTCTTGGACAACGGAGAGTGTTTTTCGTCAAAAATTGATTTTACAAAAAAATTTGCCTTGGTCCTAATTACCAACAAATATTTACAACATTTTTATATGATGGTAAACTGAGCTACATTTTCACAACTTCCCTAAACTTTCATTATTTCTGGACAGCACTGGCCATCCGTGGTCTCTGTTCGATTCGAGGTATGGTTGATTGTTTTGCGTCGTGAGCCATGTTCCCTGGCCAAAGTGTGGGTTTAAGATCCAAAAATGGGTTGCCCAAATGTATTTCAACCAATAACTTCCGATGATAGAACTCATTTCGACAGTTGATAGCCGAATCTCCCCATATAGTCTCCGTTTATGAGACAGCCCACTAAACCCACACCTTTTTACATACATGCCGGGTCGAGATCATTATTTACTTATTTAATGTATGGATCCAATCACTTAAATTTTATGAATTAATTAATCTATGACTTTTCAAAAAAACTGGGATTGGCGATTGTTGTAGCCGCGGTTGATTTACATGATAGGAACGAACACAAAATTTATAATTAAAGCACTTAATTGTGTTCATCCTAAAAATAAAGGCATTCACATTTTACAAATTTTAAACAAATTCATTATTTGTTGGTTTCACAAGTAAACCGCGCTCTTAAGTAACAAAATATCGTTAACTTTTTTAGTGAACGGTTTTCCCCTATATCTGGATCAATACCTGACGGGAAGTTATACAACTCAGCATTTTCAATATTGAGATCATAACGTACGTTCTACATTGAACGTAGGACGGTCTTCAAGATTTTTCGGGATGGCCTGGCCCATCGAAACTAATAGAGAGGATTTATTGATATTTTATGGGATGAGCAGCCGCTAAAATTCGAGAATCTTTTTTATAACACCTCATACGCCCACTCAAAAATCTCGTACATTTTCAAGGAAAGAAAGGGAGAGGAGAGAGAGACCAATATCCGTAGCAAAGCGGCAGCTTTCGGACTCAATGTATGCCGTGGAGACTCTGACGCTATGCTTAAGCACACGGATAAAGCTCTGTGATACACTTTTGTCATAGGCACCTATTTTGGAAAATAAGTGTCCTAAACACAATCATAAAATATGGAGTAATTCATGAAATTTTGTGAAAATTACAGAA